ATCGGTATTACTTCGTTCGGTGCGTATTGCTCTGACAAATCCCTCAAAGTCATCATCACTGTCTCTGCCTCTGTCACTATCACTGGCTTGGGCTGGCTGTGGTGGGTTGCGGGCGATGAACTCTGTTATGCTTTGCTGACGGCTGGTGTTTATGTTGTCATGATAAACCTTGATGTAGGGCTCCATAGTCTGCAACAGCTGGGTAGTGAAGATTTCATACCTGTTAGCGTCAGGGTCGTCGGACAGGAGGAGCTTGACTTTCTCAATACACTCGATGGCACCCCTTACATTACTATGGGATAAGTGGCGTTCTTCTTGGGATGACGCACCACCTGCCTCTTCACTGACGTCATCATCATCTACCATCTCGTCGGTATTCACATCAGGATCCCTTATCACCTCCAGGATGTCGTCGTTGGTGGTCTCGGAGAAGCCTGCAGCTGTAACACTCTGCGCAGCTTCTCTGGCAAGGTCCACTGCTACTGCAACAGTCTGAACCTCACCAGTCACAGATTTACTCTGCCTAACACCCGGAATACCATACAACACATGTCTCCATGCGTGACGAACAGTTGCTACAGACAGCTGATCCCATGCTTCCACCAAGAAGTCCACAGCTTTCTTGACGTTGAATGTTCTCCAGAATTGTTTCAAAAGTACTTCTTGCTCTGCCAACTGTTGATCCTCGTCGTCTTCGCTCTTGCTATTGGTGTTGGTGTCACTCAGGTTACGCATCTCTTCTTTGGTGTTGGTGTAGTCGTTCAGGAGCTTGAATTTTTAGCAGAGAATGCAGCTTTTACATTACAGATCAATTCTTGGTCCATGGGCTGTATTATAGACGTAGTGTTGGGAGGAAGGAAGACCACTTTTACGTTGGGGTGACGATCTAACAGTAGGGGCAAGTGTCCTGGTGCGTTGTCAAGCAGCAACAAAATCTTGAATGGCACATTCTGTTGCTCACAGAATTCCTTCACATCGGTAACGAAACAGTCATCAAACCAGGAGAGGGACAGAGTAGAGAACATCCACGCCTTATGTGCCGTCAGCCAGTGGACATTTAGCTTGGTCACGTCCATTCTCTTGTAAGCGTGCGGCTTGCGTGCTGTGTGGATCACCAATAACTTGAGCTTACAGGTATCGGAGGCATTGGTGGTAAACAGGACGGTGATGCGCTCCTTCTGCAACTTCCGGCCCCGACACTTGCTGGCATTCTGAACGGAGGCGTCGGAACTCCCTTGGTGGGCGTTCTCCATTTCCACATACCATCTTGATCTGCTTAGTGTTTGTTCTACGGTATACACAAGAAGTTTTGTCTCATTTTGGTGACTGGTCGTGTGTGTGTGTGTGTGTGTGTGTGTGTGTGTGTGTGTGTGTGTGTGTGTGTGTGTGTGTGTGTGTGTGTGTGTGTGTGTGTGTGTGTGTGTGTGTGTGTGTGTGTGTGTGTGTGTGTGTGTGTGTGTGTGTGTGTGTGTGTGTGTGTGTGTGTGTGTGTGTGTGTGTGTGTGTGTGTGTGTGTGTGTGTGTGTGTGTGTGTGTGTGTGTGTGTGTGTGTGTGTGTGTGTGTGTGTGTGTGTGTGTGTGTGTGTGTGTGTGTGTGTGTGTGTGTGTGTGTGTGTGTGTGTGTGTGTGTGTGTGTGTGTGTGTGTGTGTGTGTGTGTGTGTGTGTGTGTGTGTGTGTGTGTGTGTGTGTGTGTGTGTGTGTGTGTGTGTGTGTGTGTGTGTGTGTGTGTGTGTGTGTGTGTGTGTGTGTGTGTGTGTGTGTGTGTGTGTGTGTGTGTGTGTGTGTGTGTGTGTGTGTGTGTGTGTGTGTGTGTGTGTGTGTGTGTGTGTGTGTGTGTGTGTGTGTGTGTGTGTGTGTGTGTGTGTGTGTGTGTGTGTGTGTGTGTGTGTGTGTGTGTGTGTGTGTGTGTGTGTGTGTGTGTGTGTGTGTGTGTGTGTGTGTGTGTGTGTGTGTGTGTGTGTGTGTGTGTGTGTGTGTGTGTGTGTGTGTGTGTGTGTGTGTGTGTGTGTGTGTGTGTGTGTGTGTGTGTGTGTGTGTGTGTGTGTGTGTGTGTGTGTGTGTGTGTGTGTGTGTGTGTGTGTTGGAGAATCATTCAGAATGAAGAGGAAGTGTAAGGTTAACATTCAGTTTTAGAATTTAAGTTAATGACAGTGAGTTCTGCTAGGGCCAATGTTGAGGAAGGTATAGAAGATGGTGTTTTTGTTCTGCTGTGGTCTTCACCTGCACAACACAGCCCAAAGATTTCCCTCCGGCCTACCCTAATGACATTGTGCATCATCTACCAACAGCAAGTTTTTTCCTAGAAAAATATTTAGGTTAAATTTGAATGTGAGCATTACTGTATAATTATGTTAGAAATAGGGGCATAAGTTCTGGTCGAGTCTGTCTGTCATTCTTCACATCCACATTTTCTTATATTCACTCTTTTTTATTTTTAGTTAATCTCTAATGTTAATTTTTATTTATCTTTCAGATTAAAGTTCGTGAAGCAACCAGCAATGACCCCTGGGGACCTTCCTCGACTCTCATGTCAGAAGTTGCTGACCTTACATACAACGTGGTGGCCTTCACAGAAATAATGCAAATGATTTGGAAAAGACTGAATGACCATGGTCGGAACTGGAGACATGTTTACAAAGCTCTTGTTCTGTTAGAATACCTCATAAAGACTGGTAGTGAAAAG